TAGGGAAAAAAGGGCATTATGAAAGGAAGGTTAATAAAAAGCATACATACTCTTCTTGTTTCCTAACAGTTAGAAAAAATGAAACCACTGTAGAACTAAGTTTGATTCAATACAGTCATAATGTAGGAACAAAAAAAAAAAAGGAAAAAAAGACTGAAGCTTAACAGAAACTCTGGGAAGTATTTTAATCCGGATTTCTGTTCAGACTCCTCCTGAACTTCCTTATAATTTATAAGGAAAGCTGTGAACTGCTCTAACACTTTCCAGTGATACTGTAAACAGGTCTAAAAGCTGGTGCAACATATTCCTTGCCATGCACCCTCTGCACAGTGCCTGCAGCGTTGAGGCAGTGGAGCTGGGGAGGAATACTGGTATTTCACTGGGTGCTTGAAGAAGAGAAGTGAGGCTGGAGGAAGGTCCCCAATTCAGACTGCTAATGCTGCTCCTAGCAGAAATGCCTCCAACCCCCTCTTATGAGAACAGGCTCACACCTTTCTTCTTTTTCTTCTCATGGGAAGAAAACACAATAAAAATGACTTTCCAGTATTAGCCCAGCAGGTCCCTGTTCATTAGCCCTGTCACAACTTTGTCTGACCACCACGAGCAAAGGAATGAAAAATGACCTGGATTACCAGCAAAAGGACAGCTCAGAAGCCAAAGGAAACTTGCACATAGAAAAATATGGTTTGTCCAGGTTTCTTGCAACACCCTGGCTATTTCTGCCATCTTCCGCTGTTGGTGGTACTCAGTCCTCCACAATTACCAAGTCTCCAGTCTTGCAGCTACCTTCCTCCTCCCCATCACCTCAAGCCTGCCTTGCTGTCTCACCTTCACTCTACACTGAACACCACCAACAGCTAAAACCCTGACCATTTCCCTCTCTGTGGCTTCCTCCACCCTAAGCAAAACTTGTCCCTAAAATACCTTCCCACATTTAAATCTGATCATTTCACCCTTTCTGAATGCTCTTAGATGTTTCTCTTTGCCATTTCATCCATTTTACGCTTCCCGTTTCTGTTCTAAAGCTCTTACTCTTCTGTATCCCATACATACAATACAGCTTACCCACATATATATATGTACGCTACATAATGAAGCCATTCCTTACACCCTACGTTCTGCTCCTTTGCCCCATTTTGACAGCTAAGGGCCCATCTTTGGGGTTTTTGACTAACAATGATGACATCTTGCATGTGGAACAGCTAAGTTGGATCGACTCACAGAGCTAGAATATTTGGAATAATCAAGGTCAGGTTTCTGTTTGCCTCTCCCTCTTGACGTGTCCCGGAAGGCCTGCTGCAAACCCTTCGTTCAGAGTCCTGCCCTCAGCCACTTCTGACCGACACGAAACGCTTTAAAAATGCTACAGGCACTGACCGCAGGCTGAGCGGATCCTTCATCCTACTGCCCTGCTGATGGGAACGACAGCCCGCCTTGCTTCCTGCATCCTGCTCTACCAACCGTCGACCGCGGGAGGCTGTTTCCATGGCGATGGTCAATCAGCAATAGCAGCCATGTCCCTTCAACTTTTGTCGTGTTGGTGTTGGCAGGAGTAAAGGCCTTACTCCGATTTCTCAGTTTGGCTGCAGAAGATTTTCATTAGATTTATCCTTTTGCATCCAGATGCCCCCACACAATTCAGCTTTGATTTTCCAGCCCTCCACTTCCACTCGCTGTTGATTACAAAGGGAAGATTTCCTGAGCCTCGCTGCTGGGGACGCGGGCAGGGAAGATCACCTCGCGCATTTGCCGTTTCTTCGTGGCACTTCCTGAGTTTTAATGTCTTTGTAAGGACTCGTACAGACATTTCACTCTTAGCCATTCTTTAAAGAGAAGTCTTTTCTCTGAAACGAGGCCTTTCCTTGACGGTTTGCTCACGTGCAACCGGATGCTTGGCAGCAAGTGGGAAGCACAGGCGGTTC